CCACTTGCTGAGACCCACTCAAAAGGACGCGGTGCGGTCCATACTTGCTCACTATAATCCTTCACCACGAGGCGCTAGGTTCATGGAAGAAACGCCACAACCATTTAGCCAAGAACGCCTCATTTCTAAGCCTCAGCTTTCCGATGCCCAAACCCCCCTATCCAAAGGCTTCACCATAGAATGCCAACTAACAAGATGAGAACCACCTCATTCCTCCACCCTTTCCCAGAGAAAATCCCTCATGATCTTTTCTATGCTCTCACAAACAGCCACAGGGATCCTGAAAAGGGACAAAAAAATAGGTCGGAATGCCCCTAAGAACAGACTGAATCAATTGAGTCTCCCCCTTTAGAAAAGAAGGCTTTCTTCCACGGGGAAAGACGTTTCTGACACTTTTCAAGCACCGACGACCAAAAACTAGCAGTCTTAGGATTATGGCCAAGGGGAGACCAAGATAAGAGGACAGCAAACCACTCACTTCGCACCCCACCTGAGATGCCCAAGCGCTAAGCTTACCAGGATCACAGTTAACCCCCAAGATGGAGCTCTTACCTCTATTAATCTTAAGGCCTGAAATGGATTTGAAGAAGCTCAGAAGACCGTTCAGATTCGAAAGCGAGCTATCCTTCCCAAAACAAAAGAAAATAGTGTCGTCTGCAAACTGAAGATGAGAAAGATAGACCTTCTCCCTTCCCACTTCAAAGTCTTCTAAAGCACCTTTCTCCACCCCGACAGTGACTAACTTACTAAGTACATCCACCACTAGAATAAATAAGAATGGGGATAGAGGATCTCCTTGTCTAAGACCTCTAGATGCAAAAATTTTGCCCCTAGGCCTCCCATTAACGAGGATAGAGAAATTAACAACTCCGACAACTCCAAATCCAGGCCCTCCACTTGAAACCAAACCCTTTCTTCCATAGAACTTTATCAAGGAAATCCCAATCAACATGGTCATACGCCTTTTCAAAGTCGATCTTAAACACCACGCCCTCCTTCTTCCGCTCAATTTAAACTTTTTTTTCCTAAAGAAAAACTTTTATCTATTATTTTTCTCTTTCTTAAATAAATAGTATAATAAAATCAAATTTTCTCTTTAATTTGTGTTCAATATATTTTTTTCCAAGTCTTGGTGGTAAAAGTAGTAAGGCCTACATTACTATAACTCAAATATAACAGCGTCAATTTCATAAGTGATTGTTCATATTTTTTAAAAATAGAAGGTGAATTAATATTAGTCTTTTGGTTCATTCACAAAGCATAAAGGCTTGGATCCTAAATGCATACTAATGAAGCATATGCCTCCTATGACTCAAAGAAGGCATAAGACTTAAAGGCTGAACATTTCAGCCACTCCCCAAGCATAAGCTTCAACGGCCTTCTAGGACAAAACCTACCCAAAAACACACCTGAAGACTCAAGGGTCCATTAACGAGTATCTCTAAACCCAAGAAAGCCAAGATTAAGTTGAAATCAATGCAAAAGGAATAGAAAAGACACATCAAAAGTTTCACTATCACACACCAATCTCCTAGAACAGAAGGGTACAAACCGTGACCAACTTTATTAATCGAGAGTTCCTTCGCTTGTTTTAAGTTTCCATCCTCTCGAAATGCTTTTTCTGCAAAAGAGAGGAAAAAAAGCAATTTTCGTGAACACTGCTAATGATAACTTCTCAAGAGCGACAAGAAGAGCACAACCTATAGGACAATTCCAATGATGAAATTGCAGAATCTGGAACATAAAAATGTGATCCAACAGATGGACAATACTCTAACTAAAATAACATCGCGATATACAGTAATTTTGACTTCCCCTGGACCCAAAATTCTCTTAAAGAAGAAAAGGTTAGCTGGGACCAAATTTGCAGTACAATTATTAGTATATAACTGTAAGTTCCAACATTATATTACACTCGTGTATACCAAATCTTATTCACATTTCTTTTCACTAAAATCTTAACTATCTTGAAATCTCACTGAGGGAGATCCATCCATCATAATTAATGGCCAAACTACACCGCTAAATAAATCCAGGGATTTCATGTCTAACGCATGTTTCTTTCAACAAGTCTCACACAGGCTTGCACATGAATGGATATTCAGGTTGTCAATTGGCTACATACAACTTCACTGATAAATAAACAGTAGACAAAAGGTAAAAGTGTAGATACCCTCGAAAAAGAAGGAAACGTTCTCGGCGCTTTCGAAGAAGTAATCGTCGGTCAACTGCCGCTGTAGAGAAAATATATTTCAATATGAACTGAGCATAAAGTTAACAATTGAAAGTAGGTTCCAGGAGACATTAATCAAAAACCTGATTTACAGTAGAGAAAACAGAGGAAGTGGAGCAGTCAAAGCCATCAAGCAACTGTTCCATTCTCTTCCTCATGGCATCAACTTCATCAGAACTCGCGAATGATTCAATCACAAGATAACCTGGAAACAGAACGAGAAGAATTACGGTGATCAATTTATGGAAATGGAAGAAAATGGAAAATCGTGACGTGTTCCAAGTTGCAACTGCGATTTTTAATTTGAAAAGCAGTAGTCGGGGATTGAGCGGAGCAACCTACCCTGAGAGTCGAAGAACTGAAGCTGATCCGAATTGAGATTACCAAGAATTCCCATGCCGATCTCACTCCAACGATTTCTAATGTGTCTTATCAAAATCTGAACACTTTTTGGGACGCTTGTATGAGCGCCCACTTCCGAGTCAAATGAACAAGTCCATTGAAACGCCGACCTCCACCGAAATATTCGTATTTTTTCTTTCTTCCTTTCTAGGATATATATATATATATTAGAGAATTCCTTTTTAGGATATTTAATACTAACTAGTTCACAACACATTCATTTTTTTTTAGTACTAAGGCGGGGATTGAATTCACAACTTCTTGGTTGGAGATATATGTCAATTACAACTGAGTTAGGCTTGTTTTGGCCGCAACATGTTGGTTCACAACACATTCCTAATCAAGCACTCTGCTATGTACATTGGTTCTAATTGACCACTCAGACTAAATTTTTTATTTTTGTTTTTATACTTCGGAGTCGAATTTTTGTTTCCCCAAGGCTCGAACCTGAGCACTCGACTAAACTAATTGGAAACGTACTTTCAATTTGGTCCTCAAATTTAATATGCAGGAATTTAATCATGCATTCTAAAATGCGTAACAATTTAATTTTTAATGTGAAAATTCTGGTCAAGTTGTTGATCTTTAGTTTATAACGAGTTAGTGTTTCTAATTCGAAAACATACCTAATCTCAATCAATTTATTCATATATATGTTTTTCACACTCATTACATCTTTAACAAGTTTTCTACAAAGGTTAAATTATTAAACTGAATGACCAAATTGATATCGTTACAAAATTTGAACTATATGAACTAAATCGATACGTATTAATTAAAGTTGAGAGACAAGGTGGTTGCAAATTTCAGTTATATATTAAAGTTCATGAACTAAATAATTACTTCAATTTCACATCTGTGTAGAATAGTGTAGTTGCAAGTTCCAATGAAATATAGTAATTTGCAAACCTATATTTAGTTAAAGAGAATAAGAGTCGGAACATCACTGGGCTTATTAGCGGAGCACAAAAATCTAGCACGGGCGCTGGTCGGCCGATCTCCAAGCCCGACTGGCCAAAATGTGGTCATCCAGAACCTGGTCGGTCGAGCCCTAGTTAGGCCCTAGACCTGGTCATGCCTTCGATTGGTTGGGCCATGAACCTGTGATGTTGTTCGTCTGTCGGGTCTAGCTTCTTCTTCCCATGACAATAGCTCCATTCTCAAAATAGAAGATGATAAGCTTACACAAAATCCTAGATTTCTATATTGAGAGTACTTGTTGTTTGGTTTCAGAAGACTATGTTATTCATGGAACAATCATTTTCATGGAATAGCCCCCATATTTTATATCCTTTGTCGTAATTAGGTTTTAAATCAAATCTCTTAGGCTCCACTAATTGGCTAGATCTATCCATTAGTTTCTGTCTTGGGTTTTTACTAGCTGGGCTCGTTCACTCTTCGACCATTTGGGCTCATTCATCATTGGTCTTCTATACTTTTGGTTTCATTGACTGGCTTAGCTTGTTTGCCTGCTTTCAGTTTTAATTGGTTGTGCCCGTTCGCTTGTCTTTTTCAGCACTTTTGGATTTTGACTATTTGGTACGAATGCACATTCATACCCGAAAAACCGACTCGATCGACCAAACTGACCTTAGGTCAGTTTGAGGCACGATTCGGTCGGTGTTGCAAAACTGACCAGTCGGTCGATCGGAGAGCTATAAGGGAGATACCCAATCGAAACCGACCGACTATTACTAATAGTTAAAATAAAAAATAAAAAAAATACATGTTCTGCCACTGCCGACATGGACTGCCATACGCCACCCTCATTAATGCAGCATTAATTGTGTGGTTGGTTTTAAAACCAGCCATTCTTTTTCAAAACAACCAAAGTTTATTATTTTTTTTATGTTCCTTCTCCTGCACTCTTCTTTCTCATTTAAGTTATTGTCAATCTCTCTCCTCTTTTTCTTTCTTCATCCGTAAATCTCTTCTTTCTCATTTTTCTTCTCAAATCTCATGTCTTTCTTCTCAGCCCCTCCTTTGTGTGTGCTAGCTTTTCCTTCTCCTCTTTTTCTTTCTCTATGAACAAAATCAATGTCAAGGCGAGCAATCGATAAACTAATGTATATACCTTATCTCTATTTGTCATTACCATATTACTGCAAGATCACTGATGCTTCTTAGATCACCAAACTCAATATTTGGGCGCACATCAATAATATAATTTTGAAGTTGATCATCAAGCACAAAGAGTTCAATAATTGAGAAATCTCCTGGATAAAATTGAGCAAGACAATTAAGTTTTGGTCCATCAAAAGCAGCAAATGAATCACTCGGATTCAAACATGTCACACAGAGAAGCAACTTAGTGCTTGTTTTAGTAAAACGGTTACTCAACTCTTGAAGCTACATATCAATGCATGTATAAAAAACTTCAACACGATAATGATGCATACTTGTAATTGGTTGAGATTTTCGTCCTCGTCATCCTCTAATAAAAAACATATCATCCATCTTAAGAATTTAAATATCATATTTATCACAAAAAGTAGAAACTTGATCCAGCAATGAATCCCAACCAAACTCTCTCAATGTTTGCAATCTTTCTTTACAAATTATGACTAAATTTTTGGTATTTACAACGTCTTGATCTTTTAATTTCTTTGTAATGCTTGAGACAAATCATCTATGATTCCCAAGATGATTTTTATAAAATGCTTATAAAAAACAAAGTCGAATGATTGTATTGAACTTATTAGAATCCCTGTTTCATATTCCTATTCCGAGTTAGATCTACCTTGTACAATTGTCTCAAGTACATCTACTGAAGAAAACATTGTAATAATAATCAATAAAGCACCGTAATGTGATCACCATTGTGTATCTACTGGTCGTTTAATCACTGTCTCTTGATTTAATCATCGGCCAATTGATAGTTCATCATTATCCAAAGCTTAAAAAAATTGTCATACTCTGTTTTTCTCGTAGAATATCATGACAATTTGCTGAGACCCCAATAAAATTCACTACATTTGTAACGATAAAAAAAACCCAGCAATATCCACATGATTTTTTTGCAGGAGCTAGAAGAGATAATTGAAGTTGATGAGAAAAACAATAAATATACAAAAACACATTCATTTTCTTTCAAAATAAGTGCTTTATTTCAATCCATTAAACTCATCTTGCATATTACTTGCTCCATCGTATTCTTGCTGTCACAAACTAGCAATGCTTAACTCATATTGAGAAAAAAAAATCCATCAATAGCTTCCTTAAGTGATAGAGAATTTATATTAGCAACATGTATAATTCCAACAAATCGTTCAATCACATGATCTTTGTTCACATATCGCAATACAATTGACATTTGCTCATTTAAAAATATATCTTTGGATTCATCCATCAAAATGGAAAATATCTTATCACTCATATCTCTTATAATTGTATTCACAATTTCTACTACAATAGAATTCACAATATCTTTTTGAATTTTGGGTGCAATCAATTTCAAGTTGTCTTGAACATTTTTTCAAAGTCGCAACTTCAATATCATTGTTGTGGTCACGTGGCCATCACAAAATTTCAAGAAAATGACCCTGATTTTGTGAATCATTTGTCTCATCATGCCCATGAAATGGAATCCCTTGTCGTAATAAAAATCGAATATAATCAATTGATGCACCTTATTGAGTTCAATATTCAACTCGTACTTTGTCTAACATCCTATTAAAAAACGCCTCAATATGTTGCTTTTGTTTCAAAAAAGCCCCACATTTAACCCAAGCTTCATTATGTGCACTATTAGGACCACCAACATGAGTTTGCAATTTCTCTTTATTATTCCAATTAGAATATCTTTCACAAATAAAATGAACACTTTCTGATCGTTCACGAACTTCTAGTTTGGATGAGTAACAACATAAACTGAATGCATAATCCTTTGAAATACTATATTCTAACCAAGGATATTAATTGAACCAAGCTGGATTAAATCGTCTTGATTTAGGTCTAAATTTCTTGAATGGAAAAATATGATTTCATGGCTAACAAAGACCCTTTTGTAAATAAGCTCTATGAACTTGGTCTTGATATTACAATTGTAACAAAAAATATTAGGTCTTAGACCAGGATCTGCGAGTAATTCTCCAAATCAACTTTTGCACAAGACTTATCAGAATCAGTATTACTCTTCTTTTTTGTAGATGACAACTCAATTGTTGTTTTCTTTTATAATATCTATCCATATTGATTTCAAATTAAATCTATAAAAATATTAATAGAAAAATATTCAAGAACTAAAACATAAATTTAACAATCATAAGAAATAGAACTAAAAGTCTAAAAGAAATTGGAAGCTTACCTGTCAATTGTATATTCTTACTTTCTAACAAAAAACTCGTCATTTGAATGTAACTCTAAAATTGATAAAGAAAAAAAAATCAACAATGTAAATAAAAAAGTAAAAAAATTAGTTTTATTTATCAAATAAAAAATAATTAGTTTCATTATGTGCCAGAGATTCAATATTGTTGAGACTTGAGAGTGAGAAATTATGTATGCTAATAGCTAAATATTGTTCAGAGTGAAAAAGTGATGTATTTTTAACGGCTAAATTTAGTTTTACTTCTTTAAGTTTAGTTGTAGGTTATGTTTTGATGAGAATCGAATGCAAGCCCCAAAGATAATTTCATTAACCTCCGCGTTGCCTTAGCCATCAGACGACATACAATTTTCTACACTTTCTATGTAAATATATTATATTTATTTTTGTTTTTTAAATATTATATAGAAAACACATTATATTTAATATAATTTCAAGGAGGCACATACCCTCCAACCCCTATGTGGATCCGTCCTTGGTCTTATATACTCCTCGTTCACTAACTAGCTTAGCTTGTTTGCCTACTTTCAACTAGGCTCGTTCACTTGCCTTTTTTTAGCACATTTGGGTTTGAGATAATATCTTAGGTGGGCTGTTTTAGAAACTTATTTACATAAATGTCTAAATTTTTCTAATTTTACAATTTTAGATTTCTGCCAGTAGGATTTTATTTTAATTTCGAATTTACCCCTAATTATTGCATTTACATTCTTTTATAGTTATTTGCTTTTTCTGAAATATAAAAGATTTAATTTCATAAATGATTCCTTTAATTATTGTGGGCCCCAT